TATTCTTGCTTCATTGCAATATCTACTTTACCCTAGTGTTCTGATTTCCAGTTTGGATGTCATATCTATGTTTATAACAATACCAAAATAGATTATGGAGCCCAAAATCTAATTTTTTTTTTTTACGATAAACACCTTTTATTTCAGTGTGCAAAAATACAAATTATCAAAAATAAAATACACAGCACTTTTGCTATGGATCCAGGCAAAGACATGACTAATGAAAGTTCCCTAACGGATGACAGTGAATACTTTGGTGGATTGATTCTGGGAGCTACGGTAGTTCTGTTCTCATTATACTATGAACCCAAGTTAATCAACTTTCATAATGATATACACTTAAATTATCAAAACCAAGTAAGGCACAGTATCATTCAAAATTTATAGACAGATGAGCAATAATTCAGAGAAAACAATTAAAATACTCCGCTGAACATGGAATTATACCACATTTGTAACTTAACACTGGCAAAATTTGGAATGATTATAGCATAAAAGATATTGTTCTTCTGAAAAGTGGACAGCAAGGTGTGGTATATAGGAGAGTGGCTCAGATTAAGACTCAAGTTTATTTTTTAAAACAACTCTTCTGCATTAGATTCTTGGTTTCTTTTTAGGTTTCAAAACTAGGTCTACAATACATAAAAATGACACTAATGAATGTAGCATAAAGATCTTAAAAAGAATCTAATTATGCCAGCAATTTGGTGACATACTGGTAGAGCTGTTCTGTAAATGCTTCAGGGGAAAATTTTTCCTTCACCCTGGCTCTTCCAGCCAGGCCCATGGTGGCTTTTAAGGAAGGTTCATGGATGAACTTTTCTATAGCTTCTGAGAAGCGTACTGGGTCAGGCTCACACAGAAACCCTGTGACGCTGTGGACAACGGACTCCAAGGGTCCACCAGAATTAACAGCAATGACTGGGCACTGCATGTACATGGCTTCCAGAGGGACAATGCCAAAGTGCTCATTGCTTGGTGTGTAAAGCACACACGTGCAGTAGTGGAGGAGGGAGATTTTCTGTTTGTCTGAGAAAGACCTCAAGAAGGTCACATACTGGCCAAGGTCAGACTGTTGGACCATTTTCTTCAATTCCTGATAATGTTCCACATTCTCCTGGACTCTCTTATCATAACCACCTGCCATGATCAGATGAACCTGCTCCCAATCTTGAGACGTCAGTCTTCCACGCAGCTGTACAAGGGCTTCTAGTGCCAAAGTCAGATTTTTCTTCCTTTCGTATCTGTTGATAGAGAGCAGCAGGAATTTTTTCCCCTTGGGGACTAGGTCATCAAGCTTTTCAGGAACAACTGAGTCAAAGTTGGTGACATTTAGAGATGGATAGAGGACATCAGGGTCTATATGAGACAGGGACTTGAATGTTTCCTTAAAAACAGCAGCTGTGAACTGGCTGTTGACTAAGATGCAGTCTGCCATGCCTGTGGTGTATTCCTCTATCCAGTCAACTGGGGCCCTGTATAGCCGTTTAAGAAAAGAATCTCTCTTGGTGAGAAGCAGATCTGGGAAGTGACAGTAAAACAGGATCTTCTTCCGCCGTCTAGCCAGCCTGAACACTGGGATACAAGCGGACACCTAGCCAAAGAAAAAATCAACAGCAGAATGTGGTCAACTCAACTTCAACCAAACCAAAAGCACAGACACCCATCCTGTCTGCTAGTCTGTGGGGTCCTCATGGGCAATGCCTGATTCTGCTTTGTTCCCCTAGACTTCACCCAGTACCATATGCCTGGTGTACAGAAGGCTAGAGATATTTGCCAGATGTGTGCTAAACATTTAAAGCTTCAAGTCCAGTGGTTTCCTCTTGAATGGTGCTGTCTAATGGAAATAAGATAAAAATCTAGTAATATTAAAAATGTTTTTAAGGGTGAAATTAATTTTATTATTTACCCCAAACATTATCATTACAAAATATAATCAACACTAAACAGTATTAATGAGATACTTTATATATACATGTACTTCACATTAAATCTTCAAATCAATTTCGTATTTTAACTTTAGCACCTCTCAGTTTAGACTACCCACATTTCAAGTGCTCAACAGCCACATGTGGCTGGTGGCTACCACATTGTACAGTACAGCTCTAGGATCTTTCTCTTCCCAAAGAACTGAATGAATCAACTATAGTAGTTTAGAGCACAAGCTCTAGATTCAAGACTGCTAGGGTCTGAATCTCAGCTCTACTAATTGTGTGGCTATGATCAAGTAATTTATCCCACTCTGGGTCTTAGTTTCCTCTTCTGTAACATGGTGATAATTATAGTTATTAAAAAAAACCCATATAATTTTTGTGATTATTAAATGGACTGATAAATGCAAAACACATGGAGTTTAGCACACAGTATGTGCTCAATAAATATTAAAGCTAGTCATACTGAGCATAAACTAGATGCTGGCATTACTACAGACTTTTTTGTTGGGTAATCTTTACAAGTCATTTTAATCTCAGCTAACTTAATTAACACCTGAAGAAGGTAAACTTTAGTGACATTGTGCAATTTATTCAAAGCCACTTTATTAAAGCAGCAGATACAGAACTTGAATCCAGGATGCCTATTTCCAAGCCCCAAATTTTTCCTCTACCCACTACAGTCTCAGATGCCTCATGCCTATCTATCGACACATGCAGTATGTTTGGTAAATGTTCATATTACTTAAAAAGAATGCTTCCACACAAGCAAGGATGATCGAAAATAACTCAGGAGTCAGAATTAAAGAAACACAAATACAAATGTGATGTCATTTTCACCTATCAGTTTGGCAAAGATTAAAATGGTTAATATCCAAGGCAGACAAAAGCATGGAGTATGAGGCTGTACCATACATTGTGGAAGAGTAAAGTGACACAGCCTCTTTGGTAGACAAATTTGGCAGCAGCTATTGATATTTAAAATGAACAACTCTTAGACCCACCAACTTTAGGAATTTCTGCAAAAAGGACATGTTTGCAGAAGTACCAAAAAAAATTAAAAAGACATAAAAGGATGTTCATTACAACATTGATCTATTCACAAAAAACGAGTCACAACATTGGTGTCCTTTAAGAAGCCCGTTTAATTATGGCACACTTAAAAACAAGTGAATTTTCTGGCCACTATGACTAAGCGAATCTCTAATATTGACATCTAAGAATGTCCCGGTCGGGCGCGGTAGCTCACGCCTGTAATCTCAGCACTATGGGAGGACGAGGTGGGTGGATCACTTTCGGTCACAAGTGAGAGACCACCGTAGCCAGCATGGTGAAACCCCATCTCCACTAACAATACAAAAAATTAGCCGGGTGTGGTAATCCCAGCTACTCGGGAGGGTGAGGCAGGAGAATCGCTGGAACCCAGGAGGTGGAGGTTGTAGTGAGCCGAGATTGCACCACAGCACTCCAGCCTGGGAGACGGAGACTCCGCCTGGAAAAAAAAAAAAAAAAGTCCCAAATAGAATTTTTTGCTGAAAAAAGGGAAGATGCCTAAAGTACGTATGTCATAATCCCAATTATGTACCAATAGAAGATATACCTATGAAAAGACACATGCTGGTGTCACCACAACTCCTGGAAAAATACAAGAGAAACTTAACGGTGGCTATCGTCAGCGAGTAGAAAAGGACGGGGCTTTTAGGTTACATCCTTCTATAATACTGAGTTTTTGGTCAAGTAAATGTTACTTTTTAAAGTCATCTTTTTTAGGATGGGAAACATGAATGAAGGAAAGAGTCGAGAATAGCTACAGGGCAGATCCAGGTGGACATTATTTACCAAGATAAAAAGCTTAAACTTTTCTCCAAAAACCAATGGGGAGCCACGTACAAGTTTTAATAGGGACATGATATATTCAGCTTGGCGTTTTTAACACTGGACACTGCTGAGGACGGTGTGGCCTGGCTCCGAACACAAGGACAGTGGGATGCAAATAGCCTGAAAGTAGAGTCAACAAAAATAACGCCTAAGAGGGAAGACGACACACGATTACTCATTAATAAAAGGTGACTGAAGCTGACTTCGAATACCAGCGTTTTTCAGAGCGAGCCCCAATGACTATTTGCATCCGAATCACCCCATGACCCAGTTAAAATGCAGATTTCTGGGCCCCACATCAAGGCTCCAGGATGAAAACTTCCAGGAGAGTGGAGTCTTAGCAATCTGCAACTTTAATGGGCCCACACTAAAGTTAGACAACCACAGGTTCGCTCCCAGCTCTGACTTCTTCAGGTCAGTTCCGATGTTTCCGAACTGCAGACAGGGAAGGTCCTCTCTCAGAGGTCTTGCCCGCGGCCGCCCTCCAAGGCGAGGTCCGCACTCGCGCAGCCGGCCCCGCGGCTGCCTCACCTGGTCGCACACGACCACATCGAACTCCTCGTCGGCGAGGAACAGCACGTAAAGAGCCAGGAAGACCATGCGCACATAGGAGCAGACGGCGGCGCCGCGGCCGCCCCAACCCAGGCCGCGCGGCAGCCAGTCCCCAGCGCATCGCACCGGCAGCTCGAGGCTCTCGGCGAAGCAGTGGCCCGGATCGTAGTGCGCTGTCCAGATCTTCACGCTACACCCGCGCGCCTGCAGCGCCAGCGCCGCGTCCAGTACCAGACGCTCGGCGCCGCCCACACCCAGGTCTGGGTGCAGGAACAGCACCGACGGCTTGGGAACTGAGTCCCGTTTCCGGCCCTGCTCCTCTGCCATGGCTCTGGAGCAGCAACTGCATCCCACACCCTGAGAAAGCCTCTACGCAAGCTCCGCCCCCCGGCTCCCAGCTGGCCACTGAGGGCCGACCCCGCCCCTCCGCGCGTGCGTCTGTTAGGCCACATCAGCGCAAATTTGAGAGGGCCTGGTAACTGCCTGAGAAAATAGCTTATCTAAAGCCTGGTTATATTTTTCCTTACGCAGGGATTAGACTCTAGGAAGGACGTCGTGATCCAAAGGAAGGAGGTCGGAGGTCTCTACTTCCCACAGAGCAGGTAACTAAGTTGTGTGTAGCAGACTATCTACAGGCATATCGTGAGACAACACAGGCGTCCCTGGAGTCAGCGAGGACCTTGCCTGCAAGTCCGGGGGCGGGGCCTGAGCCAGTCTAGCCAGCTGCCGGTCCTACCAGGGCTCCCCAACTTTCCTTCCGTCCGCGTCAGCTCCTTGACACTCTCATCTCCAGCATGGTATGGCGCCCCTTCCTTGATCCTCGCCTCTCCCAGGAGCCCTGACTCCTCCTTTGCGCCATGCCTTTTCTCCGTAACTCCCTTGTTTCCCCCAGCCTCTGGTGCGGGTGTCTAGGCGAGGATTTGGGGGCAGGGCTGCCCCGCTCACCGGTCTGTCTTCTTGTGTCCCTCTACAGCCTGGTCCGACCCCCAGTGGCACTAACGTGGGATCCTCAGGGCGCTCTCCCAGCAAAGCGGTGGCTGCCCGGGCGGCAGGATCCACTGTTCGGCAGAGGTAAGGAACCCTGCAGTCCGTTCGCTTGCAGACTCGGAGAAAGGGCCCAGGAACTCGCTGGTTCTGGGGAGGAGACCCTCTGGCATATGAAGATTGACAAGGGCAAAATAAGCTTCAAGTGATGTGGCCGTGTGAGTAGTTAAAGGTCTTTTGGGAGGAAGGCGACATTTTCTTCTCGTCTCTCAGTTTAGGGCACGACTCTTAAAAAAGGAAAGTTAACAAACTGGAATAGAGTCAGAGATAACTTTGAGAAAACCGATGTCATTAAACTGGTGTCTCTGGACCTGAGGTTTCCACTCACATTTCCATCTGGAGGCCCCATAAGCAATCTGTCCTACAGATAACTTGTCCTGCACAAAAACTCTTTTCAGCTCAGCTCCCTCACTCTCAATTATATCTCCTTACTTCCATATGGCACAGTTGTACACGCATTTACTCAAAGCCAGAAACGTTAGCGTCATCTTGAATTTTTCTTATGCTTTCTCTCTATCCAGTCATATGCCAGACTTTAAACTCTACTTGAAAGCCTTCTCATAAGCTCTTTCCTTCTCCTTTCCTACTGCCCTGCATTTACGACCTAACCCTTCTATTCAGGCTCTTTCCTTTCCTATCCATCTTCCACTTTGCTGTTACTCTTCTGTGTAATTTCTGTTACTTTTTCGTTGCTGAACCAAAAAATAAATAAATAAAGATAAAAAAGCCAGGGGGATCCCAAAGCTCTTGGTCATTTCAGCCTAACCTTTCTTTGCTGTCCTATGATCCAGAACTTATGAACTCATTATTGTTTTCTGAATTCACCAAGTTTCTCCCTTACCTAAAGGCAAATTTCTATTTATTTTCGCTCAGAGGTTATTTCCTCTTGAGGCCTTCTGTGTCTGTAAGCAGCAGTAGCTACTAGTTTTCCCTGTTGCTCCCATGGCATTTTGTTCATATCATTGTAAGACCAGTGATGTTTCCTATTTATCTCTTTCATTAGACTTTAACAGAGAACCTGCTCAAGTAATTTCTATCCCCAGCACCCACCATAAGGCATGACAATAAATAATGAAGGAAGGAAGGAATCTAGCATCCAGGTTGTTTTGGGATTTTTGAAGGAACCAATGGGGTTTTATCTAGGGAGGAAAAGATCTTAAGTGCATGCATGGAAGCTTCTTAAGGATGTGAAGAGGGATGTGACTTTTCTTGTTGGCTGCAATACGTAAATCTAAAACTGATGATTTGAATTTACATGAAACATTTCCCATCAGAACAAAGACATTCTATTAAAGCTGTCAGAAATGTAAAATTATCCTGAATGCTTGTGAGTTCTCTGTCACTTAGATGTTCAAGAGGAGTGTATCAGGCTGTGGTTTAGCTTATATGGGCTTCGAGTTCTGTCCCCTTCCCACCCTGGGTTTTAGCGATTCTTTGTGTGAGAATAGAAAACGTCCTGTGGGTGCAGTTCCCTGGGAATGGATCTGCTTAATGAGAATTGGTAATACTGTGGAAGGGAAGTTTGGCCATCGGAGAATTTGTAAAGAAATAAAAGAAAAAGCATATATTTATCAAATGTACATGTGATAATGAAATAACTTATTTAATAGTAAAAATGAAATAACTGATGCACAGGCGAAATGGAGAACTTAAACATTTGAAGACAGATGCAGTTTTTAAAGTTGTGGGTGTTGATATCATCTTTTAGGATTCAGTGTGATAAAGCTAGTGTGGCTGGAGAGACTGTGGTTGTATGTATTGAGAGACCTGACAGTGTTTCCTTCTAGAATTTTGGTTGTGACTAAATATCATTTCATGAGTGTAATGTAATAAGTATTGGTTGTTTAAGAATATCCTTGCTTTATAAGTCTTTGAGAAAACAGTGGAAGTTAATGATTCATAATAGTGCTTTGGATTATGTTGTCTGCATATTTGCGTTCTCCATGCATGATGAAATAATAGATTACTACCTTGGAGGAGAAATGTTGTTAAATTTAAGGTCAGGCCAGAGTTAGTGTTCTTGCTCTCCTAAATGCAGTGTGAAAGGAACTTGCTGTGAGGAGCAATAATGCTTTGTAAACTATGAAGGTGTGAAGTGCCATATAGTGTTCTAGCAGGATTAATGGGAATTAGGGATATTAAGATGGTGGAATAGGCTGGGTGCGGTGGCTCATGCCTGTAATCCCAGCACTTTGGGAGGCCAAGACGGGTGGATCATGAGGTCAGGAGTTGGAGACCAATCTGGCCAAGATGATGAAACCCCATCTCTACTAAAAATACAAAAATTAGCCAGGTATGGTGGTGGACACCAGTAATCCCAGCTACTTGGGAGGGAGGCTGAGACAGGAGAATCGCTTGAACCCGGGAGGCGGAGGGTGCAGTGAGCCAAGATTGTGCCACTGCACTCTAGTCTGGGCGATGGAGCAAGACTCCATCTCAAAAAAAAAAAAAAAAAAAAGATGGTAGAATAGCCACCAATGTATAGACATCAAGGTGTTGAGGTCTACTACATGTCAAATGCTGTTTCAGCTCTAAAGATGGATCTATGAACAAGATAGGCAAGGTTTATACTCATCAACCTTATATTCCAGTATAGGAGATCAAAAGCAAGGAAAATAAGATAATGTAATTTCAGGCAATAAGGGCTATGAAGATAAATGAAGCTGGGTGAGGGATAGAGAGTGGTGGGGATGGGATGAAGGTAGGTAGTTGTCTTAAATAGGGTGTTCACAGTAGGTGATATCTAAGTAGAGACCTGAAAAAAGCAAGAGAGCAGATCACACAATGGTTGGTGACAAATAAGCATCCTAGCAAAAGGAATGGGTAAGTATGAAGATTTTGAGGTCAGTGAGCTTGGCTTTGAGGAGCAGACAGAAGTCACCATGTTAGAACAAAGTGTGTAACTGGTTGGTTATGAAACCCATTGTGTTGAGGTATGGAAGGGAGAGGCAGTTATGCAGAAATAAAAGAAAGAAAGGGTGAAATAGCCTCCAAATAGAAATTTGAGAGATTAAAGTGTGCTTTATTAACCTTTATCTAGCCTCCCTTAGGGAATGGGAGGTGTTTTGAGTACACTTTAGTATTTCTAGGGGCCCTGGTTTTCAAATACTCTGCTATGTTCCATGTGCCAGCAGAAATAAGAAATCTTAAGAGAAGCCAGCCTGATTCCTCTGGGGCTCCTATAATTCCAGGAAACTCTGAAGTCAGGAACTGGAGGTGGGAGATTGTGTGAATAGTAGGAAGTACATGGGTCCAAGTCCTGGCTGAGTCCATGAGTTACTATAATATATTCACACTGGGTTTGTCTTCTAGCTTAAGTTCCTTTTCAGTAACGAGGAGGAAGATTTCAGCTGTATACCCCACAGATGAAATGATGTATATCTGTGTGTGTGAAACCTTTTCTAAGGGCATGAATTTCTCTGTAAATCCCTGTGCAGTTATGTTTTGCCTTTTACAATCAGTTTTCCCATAGAAACAGTCACACAGTGGAGTTATAAGTTCCCAGGCTACCATGTAGCCCATAATTAATGTGTCTGAAATATAATCCTTGTAGTACAATAGACCCAATCTTTGTTTGACACTGATTGCTTTCAAAGTTCTAGCATGAACACAGCTCTTCCTGTTGGAACCAGGACTGGACTCTCCCACTCTGTCATGTAGTAGGGCAGGCTCCCTGAGCTGTAGACAGTGCTTCCTGCATTCAGAGTGTGGAGTAAAGACCATGGTTGGGTAAAGTGGGCATAAGGACCAGAATGGGGAGGAGAGCAAGAGGAGATGGTAGGGATAGGGTCTGTTTTTTTCCCTATGTGCCCTTCCCTTTTTCAAAAATTGAGAATCAGCAGCCCACAGATACTGGAATGAGATTTTGAGGGAGGGTATACTGGGATTTGATGCTGAATGGTGCAGGCAGCAATGAGACAGGGCTTCCTCTCTTTACTCCCCACTAGGATTGCATGCCCTGAAGAAGATTGCTTCTGACTACTTACCACATGCCTCTTACCCTATATTGTACCACTCTAGCATGGGGCAAGATGAGCAGCCGGGGTTGGGGAAGTGCTGCATGGAAGGGTAGTTGCTGGGTGGGCTTCTCTGGTGACTGAGAGCTTCTCCCAAAGAGGAGAGAAAGGATTCCTTGGGCCTATTCCTGGTCAGCGGAGTCCTAAGTGCTGCTAGGCTGCTTCTGACTGCCTGAGCTGCATGTATCACATAGTGTATCTCACAAGCCTTGATCCCCTTGTGAGAGACAGGTTTTGGTTCGGTGTTCTCTGTATTTTTTTTTTTTTTTTAATATCCTACCTCTCTGTGCAAGATCTGTGGTTACTATATTAAAATAGTGAAAACATATAACAAAGTAATTTTTTGTAAAGTGTATACCCTATCTTGGGACCTGGATATAATTTAAAGCTTAAAGTTTTTGTCTCTGCTGTAAATATACTAATTTTAAAAAGACATCTTTTAAAGTAGCCATTTTAAGATCAACTTGTATGGATTCAGGGCATTTTTAAACGGGGGTCTATTACTTGGCTTCATGAAATGTACATGTGAAGAGAAAGTGAAATGCTTTGTCCACATGAGGCGGCCGGATGTTTTGGGCATGTGGATGGGCTCCAGGGTCAGAGCCAGGTTCACGTCCCAGCTCAACCACCTGTTGGGGTCTTAGGTACTTTGCTTGACCTTTTCTGAGACCAATTTGCCTGCTTTATAAAATGGAAAAGTAGTGACCACTTTTCAGGGTTATTGTGTGCATTGGCATCAGGCAGGCACTAGCTCCCTGTGGTTATCATGACCAGAGGAGTAAAAGCAGGAATTTGGGTGGATTCCAGCCAAGAAAGTTTTTTGTTTGTTTGTTTGTTTTAACAGTGTAATAATGGTAGCATATGTTATAAAGCTATTCTAAGAATTTCCAGAAAAAGCCATTTGTAACATTTTTCTCTTTCAGGAAAAATGCCAGCTGTGGAACAAGGAGCGCAGGCCGCACGACCTCGGCAGGCACCGGGGGGATGTGGCGATTCTACACAGAAGATTCACCTGGGCTCAAAGTGTAAGTCCTCGGAACAGGCCTTGTGTTTCTGTCTAGTGTCAGCAGGGCAGCAGTGGCAGCGCTCTGTCTCTGTCACCAGTGGCGCTTGCCTTGATGAGATTTACTGTACACAGCAGCCTCATTTGTGCCAGGCGGGCTGGGTTTGGTTTGCCTGTTTATCAACCGATTAGGCAGTTTAGGACCAGGAATGACATCTCTTCATTGAGTGAGGGAAACGAAGGGAAGTTCTGCGTGGAGCTATGTCAAAATAAATGATGAGAACAGAGAGAACTGGAGGGAAAACTGCTTGATTAGATGAAATTGCTCTTCATTTGGTGTTCTTGCCCTATACTGAGAAATAGGACTAATCATTTGAATAGGAATTGGGTGATTTTTCAAAGTTCTCCTGAAGGCACAAACTGATACTGTTACAGCCTGATGGAGATTTTCCCATTAGGCTGTGTTACCAGGAGTTCCTTGGTCTCCTTGCTTTTGGTGGGTGGTGAGTAGACTCAGGAGGGTGAACATAAAACTTTACAAGTTCTTAGGCCTTGGAGGAGTGCTCCTTAGGTGATGGGAAATGGGCATCTAGGGACCTGTCCCCATGTCTTGCTCAGGGTTTCTGGTACTGTGTGGCAGATCTAACCCCACAGGTTTCTGTTAGGTTTCAGAACACCACTGCCTATAGCTGTTTCCTGACTAAACCCGCTGGATGAGGATTTGAAATAGTAACAGTGACTCTCATTTACATAGCACCTGGTACTTTGCAAAGAACTTTCAATGTCTTTTATCTAGTTTGATCTGTCTACCAATCCAGTGAGGCAAGAGATGTTGTCATTTTGTAGATGAGGACCTCAGGTTCAGAGAGGCAAAGTGACATGCTCAAAGACAGACAGCAAGAGGTGGAACCGGATATTCTGGTTAAGTCCTATGGTCTTTCCATATTGTCCACCTGGTGGGGGAGGGGAGAAAATGGAATAATTTGGATTAGTTTTAATTAATTTGACCAGCATCTTGACTTGGATCACAAATTTAGTTTACAAAGGCTTCCCTGAAATTCTTGTTTTCTGTTATAGTGGAGACTTACATGATAATGTAGGAATATCTAGGAAGTAATTCTTGGGTTGGGGATATGTGAGGTGAAGGTATCCTGACTGCCAACCTTTTGGTCTTTGGTAGAGGAAGTTTGAGTATTTCACAGAGAATTTTTTTTTTCCTTTAGCAACAGGATTTTGCTCCATTACCTAGGCTGGAGTGCAGTGGTGTGATCATAGCTCACTGTAGTCTTGAATTTCTGGGCTCAAGTGATCTTTACTTCAAGAGACAAAATTGGATAAATTTGTATTAGTTAATTAGTTCTGAGTAGTGGGGACTACAGGTATGCGCTGCCATGCCTGGCTAATTTTTTGTACAGGCAGAATCTTGCTGTGTTGCCCAGGCTGGTTTCTAACTCCTGGCCTCAGCCTCTCAGTGCTGGGATTATAGGTATGAGACACTATACCCAGCCTCAGAGAGAACATTTGAAGCCCCTTGCTCTTCAGGAGACTCATTTTAAACTCTTCTCAAGAAGGTTGTCTTTTAATTTTTATGGTATACAGGTGTATATATTTATGGGTTATGTGAGATATTTTGATACAGGCATATGACAGGTAATAATCACTTCAGGGTACATGGGGTATTCATTACCTTAAGCATTTATTCTTTGTGTTATAAACAATCCAACCGTACTGTTAGTTATTTTACAATATACAATTAAATTATGTTTTACTATAGTCACCTTGGTGTGCTAGCAAATACTAGTTCTTACTCAGAAGGTTGTCTTTAAATCTTAATTTGAAAAAAAAGTTTGGTAATTGGTTCATTTGCACAGAAAGAGTTTAGGAAATTTTTCTTCTTTTTATTTGAGAAGATAAGAAATATATGAAATTAATGTCTCCAAGACATCAAATCATTTCAACTTGTATGTATTTTGGTATGTCTTACTAAAGGATAAGGACTTGTCCTTTCTAAACAAAATTGCACTGCCATCATCACACCCTCAAAATATCCACAATAATAATTTTAGGACTGTTTTAAAATGATACAAATAATGTTTCTGGATGGATCTTGAGTGCTGCCCACCTTACCTCTACTTTTCCCCTAGGCAATCTTTAGTATTGTAGATATAATAATATATTATTACTAAAAGTAAGCATGCTTTCTCTTCTTATTTCCAGTGGCCCTGTTCCAGTATTGGTTATGAGTCTTCTGTTCATCGCTTCTGTATTTATGTTGCACATTTGGGGCAAGTACACTCGTTCGTAGATTCAGTTACATCCATCTGTCATCTGAAGAAGGAGGAAAAAACTTAACATATCTTGGACCAAAAGTATAATGACTATCTTTTCATGTGAAAAAATTTCTGTAAGCTTGCTGTTTTACAGGGGATTTATCCATAATTGATTTTGAGGAATCATTTTTTTTCTATGGCTAATAAACTTAAATTCACTTATACTGAGTCTGATGGTTGATGCCTCACTGCTAGGACCCTTAGTCTTTCTGTCTTTAGATTTGTAAGTAAATATGTAGAAAATATGTCTTGTGAATATTGAGTTTTTTGTTGGATTGACAGTTTCTCACATGACCATGTGATTGTTCAAGTCCAAGATCTTGTAATTGCCCTTGGCTTGCTTTCTTCTAGGTATTTCTATCCTGATGATTGTCCTTTTGGGCATTCTGTGATTATAAAGGAGTGTGTCTGTGACTCCATCAGACAGATCTATGTCCAAAGGCAGCTGGTACTCAGGAGAACAATCACACAAGAAACCAGAGATCTTGGATGAAATGTTGGCACAGGCTGCTCTTTGTCTTTAAGGCCATAGACTATATTTTGCCTCTTCTTTCTCAGTTCTTAATTTTATGAGTGTAGACCGGGGATTTCCATTCATCTATTGCTTATTGTTAAACCCATGTTGAGATAATTCATTTGATAAATTGAGATTTCTCAAATAAAATTTGGTAAGACTTATCTAATCAGAGTGAGACACTAACATTTCTACACTGAGTTGACATAATTCTAACCAGAAATAAAACTGAAGTTTCACTTAGCTTATGCTGCCATACTGGGTATAAAGATTCAGTTTCTGATAGGCCCTAGGACATACTAAGAATGGCTCAAAGATAGCATACTTCAGCCAGGACTCTAAGCCAGAATTTCTGACAAGACAGGGCATTCCCTGGGAAAGGTCCGAGTTGTACAACAGAGTCACAAAATGGTAGAGGTGTATTATTAATAGTTAAGAAAAAACAGATAATTTTGAAAACATCTTTTTCATACACTAAGCCTATTTTTAAGAAATAGTCTCCGAACAGTTAAGCGGTTTCTTAAGTGTTCTTTAAAATCTTAGCTGTAAAGTACTTTTAGATTCAAAGTGTCAAATTTAAATGATGAGAATATGTATCTTTAAAAAAGATTTAGGGAAATATATTGGTAACTGAGCTCTTGTAAATTCTAACAAATGGCATTTTATTGGGAAAAAATTGATGAGAAACTGGTTTCCTTGGATACTGTGAGTTGCCTATTACATGAAACAGGTGTCTTTATTTTTGAAATGCAGGGAAAAATGTCTTGATTCATTTGGAAGAAATTAAATATGGTAGTTTCCATAATGGATTTTTTTCCCTGATATCGAGTTCGATGGTACCAATTATAGCTAAAAGTTATGCCTTTAATTTGGAAAAGAAATCTGTCCTTCTGTCCAGAGGGGCCTTTTTCTCTGGGGGAGTTGCTGCAGCCACATGGGGGAGCTGTTTGGTTGTGAAGGGTGCATTCTCCTTGCTGCACCCATCTGCCTCGCCATGGTCTCTAGTGGACTACTAGCTGAAGGTCACTGAACTTTCTGAACTAGTGATTTATAAGATGATACTTTCAGTGGCAGAACAAGGAGATGCTTCATTCAGCAGAAGGAAGAGAAGGAAAATTGGGGTTGGGCATAAAGATGTGCAACATCTATTACATAGCTGCTTTTGGCTCTGCTGATAGGATACTCATACATAGCTGAGAATCTTAGTGTACAAGCTGTTCCTTTTTTTTTTTTTTTAATTGTAAAATACGCATCACAGAATTTACCATCTTAACCAGTTTTAAGTATATAATTCAGTGATATTATGTATATTCATATTGTTGTGCAACCATCACCAAACTGAAATTCTACAAATCAAACAATAACTCCTTCTCCATGCCCCTGCCCCTGCCCATGCCCCTGCCCTTCCCCTGCCCCTGCCCCTATGAACCTCATAGAAGTGGGATCACATAGTATTTGTCTTTTTGTAACTGATTTATTTCACCTAGCATAATGTCCTCAAGATTGATCCATGCTGTAGCATATGTTAGGATTTTCTTTTCTTAAGACTGGACAATAATATGTGTCTATACTACATTTTGTGTTCCTTTCTCTTTAAAGGTATTCTCTTTAATAAGTATTCCTAGATTGTTGTTCCCTGAGCCCTAGGGGATAGGAATCGTGAATATTCATAGTAATTCTGAAAGCCTGACTAATTAAATCTTTATCTTGGCCCAACAAATCATCAGTTTGTCTTGACCATGGGCTATAATTCTAACCATTTCTGATGGATACATAAGACAGCACATGCAGAGTAGAAGCTCTAAGTAATTAAAGAAAACTGGAAAAATGAGTTACATTGTAACTGCAGTTTGGGTTGAGCCTGTTAAGCCATTGGGGAAAAAATATGTTAGAGAAAAGGCCCAATGAGTCCCTGAAACTAGTAGGGATTAGAAAGAGTAGGGTCTCTGGGCCCTAACATTACCCTAGACATGTTCCAGTGAGACCGGATGAGGATAGCATCTGTGCCTGGGAGAAGCTAAATATGTTGTAGCTTCTGTTTTCACACCTGTCCTCGTCAGTTTTTATTCCAGGTGCCAGTGCCCCTATAAGAATTGAAAAGGACATTTTGAGATCATGCAAATGTTGGCATCAAGTTAAAATAGATGAAAATGCCTACAAAGCTGTATTTATTCAACAGAAAATACTGTCAAGCATATGGAGCTCCTATGTGCAGAGAGCCATGCTCTTGATTCCCATAAAGCTGCCCCTTGGTAGCTCCAGAGCCATCATTCCTCCCTTCGAATGCTGGAGGAGGAGGGCCAGGACCAAGTTTGTTTGATTCTTTAGGTGCACCTTCTAAAGTTAGTATACCTACTTTATTCCATCTTCTGGGATTGGAAGTGTTCCTGACGTGGGTTCAACTGCTGGCCCTAAAACATAACCAGTTGTGTGATCTTGGGCAACTCACTTCTCTGGATCTCACTTTTCTTATGCATAAATAAGTATAGGTATGACAATTCCCACCAGATAGGAGACTCCACAAGGGAATGTTGTAAGAATGCTGTGTTCACCTCTACCATCTTAGTTCTTCAGTAGGATCTTCAGCTGGGTCTGGAATCAAATTGACACAAGACAAATTAGCAGGGGGAAAGCATGCACATTGTATCATGTTGTATTACATGCACATTGTATCACGTTGTATTACATGCACATTGTATCACATTGTACTACATGCACATTGTATTACATTGTACATAGGGACCCTCACAAGAGAGTAAAGACTTTAGGAAATAGCTAAAGGAGAAAGGTCTTACAGGTTTTAGACAAACAACAATAAATTTGTGAAAAAATGACAGGACAAAGGAATCTGGGATGGGGCTGTAAATTCTAGGGAATCACCAGGCGATATATGGGGTAGAGGTTTGTAGAGATAGTGGAAGATAAGGGTTTCTTCAGTAAGTTTATTTGTACAGGTTCACTGCAGCAGCAATTCTCAGGGCCTGATATTTTTTCACCTTGGTATGGGGAAGGCATCCTCCTCAAAGGATCAAAGGATCCTTTATGGTTTGCTACATGTAGGAAAGGACAGGTCAGATAACCCTTTCTGCATTTACAGTTTCTTAAGTGCTTGCAGTTTCTTAAATAATCAGTATATCAAATCGGCAAATTTTGGGATAGACCATCCTTAACTCGTTGACTAACAGTTAACAAGTGCTTTTTCGCAACACTTTTAGAGCTATGGTTTTTTTATTTAATCAGCAATCTAATGAGGAGTTTGCTCTTTGACTCTTTTACACAGGGGGAAACTGAAGCTTAAGCCACTCAGCCGGTAGGTGGAAGAGCTGGAATTTTACTGCAGATCTCTGACCTTCTGGAGTCACATGAATGGGATTGTTAAGTATTTGGGGTGAGGGAAGGCTGTCACAATAATAGAGCTTGCAAGGTAGTGCCTTTAAAAATAACAATCCCAAGAATATGCCCCACTATGGTACCCCAAGCCTTAAATAGCTTTAGTTTGAGGTTTTAGATTCTACAGAAGGAATTGGTTTTTGTATTTCAGTCCTTTTGAGCTTTGTTTGTTCTGTGGAGCTCCTGCAGTTACAGAGAAAGCATAGTGTTTAGGCATTTAGCAAACATTTACTGAGCACTGTGTGCCATACCTTTTTATTGGGGTTTTAGAAATGACCTGGCAAAGTCAATTAGCTTAAATGGGCTGGGCATTTGCATACTAGGATCCTAGTCCTCTCTGGGGCTACAAATTAGAAATGGCTACTGCGATTATGGAAAAACCAGTCAGGGAGCCCTCTCTACCTGCCCTGCCATTGGTAAAATCAAATAGGACCACAGTTTAAAAACGAGTGTGCTCATGGTGCATGGGCTGTGGTGCCAGGGATTGCAGAACTGGCACTGTCCCCAGGAAATCCATACTGTATGATCACTCTTCCAACAGAGGAAAAGCAGAGAATCCTGAGGTGCCCTAACTGGAAGGGCTGAGAGTTCACTGGGTTCTCTCCATTGTATGACAGAAGAGACAGGCTCAGAAAGGGAAGGGGTTTGCCTGAGATTGTGCAGCAGATTTGTAGCAGAACAGAGGCCAGAACCAGGCTTTCCTGTTTCCAGATGAGGGCTTCTTCCCAGTACTGCATTATGAACCCATTTTGAGCCTGTGGATAAGCCCGTCGACGTCTCTAGAGGGCAGGCTCTGGAAATAGGTAAACTAAGTGGTAGGCTTTAAATAGTGGTCAGTGTTAACCAAAGGGGAAGGGGTGAAGACAGCAAGGCTAGTTAGTAAAAATAAAGTGAACTCTGTTAGCAACTTTAGCAGAAAGTCAAGTTCATGAGACTTTATAGAGGCAAAATAGGGACGAGCAGCTAGCAGAACTGCAGTGTTTTGCATTTTTGTGACCACAGATGTTAGGTGAGCCTAGAACACCGTGAAATTGACCAAGTAGGGTTAAGGTTTGAGTAAAGGCTAAACTGTTGAAATGCTATTCCTGGCCACTTCGGCAACTGGGTCTCTTTCCCATGGTAAAGGCATTAAAATAAGATAAAAAATGCAAATGCACTAAATCGGAATCAAAGGTGTAGTTGTACATAGTCTGGATTGCTCTGTTTTAAGGAGAGGTCTAGAAATTTATGCCTCAGAAAGCAAATGAAGACATGAGGGGA